CGGAAGCGAAGTCGGCGTCGTCCCATGAAGTTGGGTACGACACGAGAGGCATCAAGTGCCTCAGATGTCTCACTCGACCCTCAGCCGAGCTCAGCATGCGCGATGGGTGGGCCTCCCCGTGCTCCAAGGCCCCCGTGGGCGTCGACCCCTCCCTTAAGCTGTTTTTTTTTGTCAAGGAGGATTCTCTGGTGTCAGCAGTCCAGGGCCACGGGCACGAGAGGCAAATTCATAAAGCTCGGCAGAGAATGTTCCTTACCAATCTTGGCTCAAGTATCCGGCCCGTGCTCTGCCCCATGTAGTTCGGCGCGCGCACATTCAGGCGAGAGGTTTTCCCCAAACCAGCCCGCTCCAGACAGCATGGTCCGCTTGGTAGTGCTCCAGGCCATCTTGGCGGTCGCAACCTGCGCGGAGGACAGCGACGCCTCGGCGGCGGCGTGCGAGACGAAGGACGTGGCCGTCCTGCAGGCCCGGCGGAAGGTGGAGGTGAAAGGCCAGTGCCCTGGCATCAACATGGGCCTGACCTACATCACGACCGCGACCGATCGCACGCAGGCCGGCGCCCCAGCGTGCTGTTTCGAAAACACCAGTTGCTGGTACTGCGGCGCCGCCTGCACCCTCGCCGACGTGCCGCGCAGCGCGGCGGCCCTGCCGCAGGAGGCCGCCCGCGCCGCGGCCAAGGTGGAAGAACCGAGTGCGTGAAGGTCGGCGCCCCAGCGTGCTGCTTCGAGAACACCACTTGCCAGTGCCGCGGCGCCGCCTGCACCTTCGCAGACGCGCCGCGCAGCGCGGCGGCCCTGCCGCAGAAGGCCGCCCGCGCCGCGGCCAAGGTGGAGGACCAGCGCCGTGGCATCAGCGCGGGCCTGACCTACATCGCGACCGCGGCCGAGTGCACGAACGCCGGCGCCCCAGCGTGAGGCTTTGATGAAACCTTCTGCTGGTGCTGCGACGCCGTCTGCACCCTCGCCGACGCGGCGGCCCTGCCGCAGAAGGCCGCCCGCGCAGCGGCCAAGGTGGAGGACCAGTGCCTTGGCATCAACGCGGGCCTGACCCGCATCGCGGCCGCGACCGATTGTGCGATGGCCGGCACCCCAGCGCGCTGCTTCGAGATCACCGCTTGCCGGCGCTGCGGCGCCGCCTGCACCCTTTCCGCCGCGCCGTGCAGCGCGGCGGCCCCGCCGCAGAAGGCCGCCCGCGCCGCGGCTACGGTGGGGGGCAAGCGCCCCAGTATCAACGCGGGCCTGACCAACATCGCGACCGCGACCGAGTGCGCGAAGGCCGGCGCCCCAGCGCGATGCTTCGAGAACGCCGCTCGCTGGCGCCGCGGCGCCGCCTGCGCCCTCGCCGACGCGCAGCGGCCAAGGTGGAGGACCAGTGCCCTGTCATCAGCGCGGGCCTGGCCCGCGTCGCGACCGCGACCGAGTGCGCGAGGGCCGGCGCCCCGGCGCGCTGCTGCGAGAACTCCGCTCGCCGGTGCTGCGGCGCCGCCTGCGCCCTCGCCGCCGCGCCGTGCAGCGCGGCGGCCCCGCCGCAGAAGGCCGCCCGCGCCTCGGCCAGTGCCTACTCCTACGAGAGAGGCATCGCGCGCGACAGTTTTGTAGCTTGTGCGGCGCTGCTCTGGCTGCCGCGGCAGTCCATGCGTCGATGGGGCCCTGCACCCGGCGCCCCTGGCCCCGACGGGAGACGGCGGCGACGATCGCGCGGAGACGGGGGTCATCAGGAATGCGCATGTGTGAACGTTCGGGGGGCGCGCGCCCATGCGCACCGACAGGACCGCCCCGCGGGTGGTGGGGAGGTTTTGGGGGGGAGAGGGGGCGGTCGATCTGCGATGGCTGTGAGTTCCTCGCTGGTTTCTTCAAATGTCCTATCCGTTATTCGATTTATATTATGCCGTATTATATATGTCTATCTATCTCTGCGTCCACCTATATATCGAAAGCTATCGGGGCAACCGTCGGGCAATCATCGGGGCAACCATCGGGGCAACCAACGGGGCAACCGTCGGGGCAACCGTCGGGGCAACCGTTGGGACAGCCATCAGGACAACCATCGGGACAACCGTCGGGACAAGCATTGGGGCTACCATCGGGACAACCGTCGGGGCAACCATCGCGGCAACACCATCGGGGCAACACCATCGGGACAACACCATCGGGACAACACCATCGGGGCATCCATCGGGACAACCGTCGGGACAACCGTCGGGGCAACCGTCGGGACAACCGTCGTAGCAACCGTCGGGACAACCATCGGGACAACCATCGAGACAATCATCGGGACAACCATCGGGACAACCATCGGGACTACCGTCGGGACAATCGTCGGGGCAACCATCGGCACAACCATTGGTGCAACAACCACACGAAAACCATCGGGACAACCGTCGGGAGAATCATCGTGAAAACAATCGGGAAAACCATCGATTCAACCATCGGGACAACCATCGGGACGTACATCGGGACAACCATCGGGGCAACCATCGGGAAAACCATCGGGACAACCATCTGGACAACCGTCGGGACAACCATCGGAACAACCAGGTGGACAACCATCGGGACAACCATCGGGACAACCTTCGGGGCAACCATCGGGGCAACTTGCGGGACAATCATCGGACACCCAACGGGACATCCATCGGGACACTTATCGGGGCAACCATGGGTACAACCATCGGGACAGCACCATCGGGATGCCCATCGGGACAACCGTCGGGACAACCATCGGGACAACCATCGGGGCAATCGTCGGGGCAACCATCGGGGCAACCATCGGGACAACCACTGGGACACCCATCGGGACAACCATCGGAACAACCATGTGGACAACCATCGGGACAACCATCGGGACAACCGTCGGGACATACGTCGGGGCAACCATCGGGACAACCATCGGGAAACCCATCGAGTCAACCATCGGGACAACCATCGGGACAACCGTCGGGACAACCATCGGGACAACCATCGGGACTACCGTCGGGACATCCAACGGGACAACCATCGGGACAACCATTGGGACAACCATCGGGGCAACCTTCGGGACACCCATCGGGACAACCACCTGAACAACCATCGGGACAACAATCGGGACAACCATTGGGACAACAACCATCGGGGCAACCATCGGGACAACTTGCGGGGCAACCATGGGGGGCCGCGCCGGGGTGGGGGAGGGCGGGCGACATTTTTGGGCTCCATGTGGCCCATACAGGTGCAGGAACTCGCGCAGTTTCGCTTCGCCCGCACGCACGACACGAGCCGAAACCGAAACCGATTTCTCGGTTGGGGCCACTTCCGTTCACCCCCCCCCAACTTCCGATTCCTTGCGAGCATTCGACGACGATGCTTCAAGTTCTTGTGCAATTGTTCCTTTCACGCGCTCCCCGTTCATGTCAGGAAAGGCTTCTGCGATGCTTGAGCGTTCCAACCTGATATAGACCTGGATGTATTGTGAAGGCCTTACGGCCAGCGCCGACCCAGAAGGACGATGACGACCACGACCACGACGGCGACCACGACGACAACGACAACGACGAGCTGATGTTCTTGCCACAGGCTCGGGACATAGGGCTGGCGGTGGAGGGAAATGGAGGAGGAGGAAGAAGATGAGGAGGAGAAGGGGGAGGAGGAGGAGGAGGAGGAGGAGGAGGAGGAGGAGGAGGAAGACGAGGATGAGGAGGAGGAGGACGACGAGGAGGAGGTGGAGGAAAAGGAGGCAGACGAGGCAGAGGAGGAGGATGAGGAGGACGACGACGACGACGACGAGGAGAAAAAAAATGAAGAGAATCAGGAGGAGGAGGAGGAGGAGGAGGAGGTGAAGGAGGAGGAGGAGGAGGAGGAAGAGGATGACGAAGAGGAAGGGAGGAGAAAGAGGAGGAGGAGGAAGAGCAGCAGCAGCAGCAGCAGGAGGAGGAGGAGAAAGAGGAGGAGAAAGAGGAGGAAGGGAAAGAGAAAGAGGAGGAGGAGGAGGAGGAGGAGGAGAGCAGAGGAGGAGGAAGAGGAGGAGGAGGAGGAGGAGGAGCACCAGTGAAACCCAATAATCATCAACGATGTTGGGATAAACCCTTCCTCCTAGCTCCCTCTTCACAGGCCCGTACAACGGTTCATTTCCACTGAGGGAACTGCCTCGTTGGAAAACAACCGTTTGAATTGAAGACCCTGACGCATGCTAAAGCATTATGCTCGGGATTCCAACGCCACGGATCAACCGGACTGTTGAGTCTTGACGATCCAGAATCGTGCTAGAACGCCATTCTTGCGAGTCCAACACCGCGAATCAACGTGACCGCTGCGTTTTCCTTGTCTTGAATTTTTCCCAAACGCAATTTCTGGTAATTACGCTGATCATGGGAATCCGCGAAACTTTTCCAAATTGAAAGAACGAGTGTGCGCGGCGCGAAGACGAAAGCCACATTTTGAAAAGGAACCGCCTTCAATCCGGGAAGCTCTTGCGATTTTTTAGAACGAATATGCGCGGCGCTAATACGAGAGCCACATGTTGAAAGCGACCCGCCCTCAATCCGTGCAACTCTTGCACAGTTTTAGAGCGAGTGTGCGCGGCGCTACGGCGAGAGCCACATTTCGAAAACGGCCCACCCTCAATCCGTGAAGCTCTTGCACATTCTAAGACGACTGTGCACGGCGCTAAACGACAGCCACATTTTGAAAACCACCCGCCCTCAATCCGTAAAGCTCCTGCACGTTTTTTTAACGAGTGAGCGCGGCGGCGCTAAGGCGAGAACCACATTTTGAAAGCCACCCGCCCTCAATCCGTGAAACTGTTGTCAACTTTTACGCCTCAGGGTCATAGATGGTGAGGGCGTCTCACGCGAAACGCCCGGACCGCACTGAAAACTGGCCCCGGGGTGCGACAGGGAGACGTTATTCTAATGAGGAGGAATGAAGGAGGAGGAGGAGGAGGAGAAAGAGGAGGAGGAGGAGGAAGGGGGAGGAGGAGAAGGAAGGGGGAGGAGGAGAAGGAGGAGGAGGAGGAGAAGGAGGGAGGAGGAGGAAAGGAGGAGGAGGAGGACCAGGAGGGGTGCGACAGGGAGAGATGACTCATGAGGGAAAGGCGTGGCGGAGGAGAACCGACTGTCCCTTCGGGGCCGGGCCAGGTCTGCGGCCAGAGCCGGGGCCCGGGTCCGGGCCAGGGCCGCCCTGACCTTCCAGGAGGGCTAAAAAATAGCACCCGACTTACCCAGAGATCCAACGCATTGAAAAAATCAAGACGGAGGTTTTTCACAATTTTCGGCCTCAAGGGGTCCTCGCCGGGCCCCGGGACCGTCTAAAAACGACTCAGGATGAAAAACCGGTCCCGGGGAACGGGTCGAGACCTCCGGGGGCCCCGCATTGAAAAAATCACGACGTCGGATCTCTGGGCAGGAGGGCTAGAAAATAGCACCCGACTTAAAAGCCTATCCCAGAGCTATTCTGCGTCTTGGTCTTAGGCGGCTTCGCCCAGCTTTTCAGATGTTTTGGTCTCCAGTGCTAGAAAATATACGTCTCTGGAAGGTCAGGGCCGAGGCCGGCGCGGGGTTGGGGCCCGGCCCGGGGTTGGGGGTTGGAGCCGGGGCCGGGGGCCTGCCCGGGGCCGGGGGCCGTGGGCCGGGGCGGGGGCGGGGCCAGGGCGGGAGCGGGGCCGACCTCCTCCTCCTCTCCCTCCTCCTCCTCCTCCTCCCCTCCTCCTCCCCTCCTCCTCATCCTCATCCTCATCCTCATCCTCATCCTCATCTCATATCCTCATCATCCTCATCCTCATCATCACCACACATCACCCATCATCACCATCACATCATCACCATCACCATCACCATCATCATCATCATCATCATCATCATCATCATCATCATCATCATCATCATCATCATCATCATCATCATCATCATCATCATCATCATCATCATCATCATCATCATCATCATCATCATCATCATCATCATCATCATCATCATCATCATCATCATCATCATCATCATCATCATCATCATCATCATCATCGGGGGGAGCCTCTGCTGAAGACCACCCCCTCGAACCTCCTTCTCCGCAGGGGGGCCGCCCAGGGTGCGGGCCACGACCTCCAGGATCCCCCACCCCCCACCCCGGGGACCCCCCCCTCTGGGACCCCCCCGCGGGACCCGCCACCCCCGGGACCCGGGACCCCCCCCCACCGAGCGGGAAGGGATCAAAGGGGGAAGGGGTTCCCCTGCCATAGGTTTAAGACACTGTTCGATGTCGTAGGGGTTCGAGTGTTGGTCAGGAGCTCCACGTCCCCTCTTCGCGCCAGAGGAGACGTGGAGCTCCGGGGGAAGGAGCCCCTGGGAAGGACGAGGATAGCGACGACGATGACAGCGCCGACGACAACGACGAGCGGAGGAGCGTCTCGCACACGCCGACAGGGTCGGTGGATTTGCCTCCAACCTGAGATGGTTTGCTTCAGACCTGATGGAAGCTTTCCAACCTGGATTGATTTGCCTACAACCTGATATAGACCTCGAGTTCCTGTAGTTTGCACGCGGGGTGGGCATTCGGCAATGGGGGCCGCTTTCGATGGTGGCTGTCTTGCCCTGTCACGCCGAGGACGTGTGCAGGCGATCGCGGCCAAAGGGAAGCGCAGCGCAGTCGCCTTTTCCCCCGCCTTCATCATCGTCCTTCTCGGTCTCCTCGTTGTCTTCCTTCTCCCCCCTCCGCGTCCTCCTCTTCAAACTCGTTGGCTGGGTTGCCCAGGCCGTTGATCACTGGGCGCGGCGGGCCTTGTGGCTGGGGGGCTCGGGAGAGCACAAGTTTTAAGTCGGGCTTGTCCCTGTACAGGGGGAATATTCAGAAATAGCTAAAGAAATAATATGGGGACGAATGTTCGTCTATTCCTGAATATTTTTGGGTACCTCTATTTTTCCCTCCAAAATCCGCCTGTAGGAGGACATGCCCAAGTTGTTCGGACGGACTGTTCAGGTCATCTTCGGCCGTAACAGAAACGAACAAACATGCTCGGCAGAGAGTGCCGACATGATAAGGTTGGTACCTGGGGTCGGAGTGTGGTCAACGCCCCCGAGGCCACCAGAAAGAATCTCGAGCACCAAAGTACCGAGACTGGAGGGTTTTCACGTGTCGGGCCCTGGGAGGCGATACTCGTTCGACATTGTTTCGATACTTTTCTGGGTGCTCGAAATTATTTCTGGGATGTGGTCCTTAAGTACGATGGGAGCAACATAACTCGAGGCGGGGAAGCTCCCCCGCACTGGGTTCACGACCTCTCTTGGGCTAGGGTCGCAGCCCGCTTGGGTGTCGGCCTTGGCGTGCCTGATGTTCTGGGATCTCACGCATGGATTTCTGGGTCGTGGCGAGGAGGAGCAGGAGCAGGAGCAGGAGGATGTGGAGGAGGAGGAGGAGGAGGATGAGGACGAGGATGCGGAGGAGGAGGAGCAGGAGCAGCAGCGGGAGCAGAAGCAGGAGGAGGATAAAACATGAGGAGGAGGAGGAGGAGGAAGAAGGAATGAGGAGTAATATGAGGAGGAGGAGGAGGAGGAGGAGGCGGAGGCGGAGGCGGAGGAGGAGGAGGAGGAAGAGGAGAGGGGGGGGATGGAGGCGGAGGAGGAGGAGGAGGAGGTGCATGTGGAGTGGTTTTACGTCCTCGGTGTGAGGGCGGGCCGTTTTACGTCCTCGATGTGAGGGTGGGGTAGGAGGAGGAGGAGGAGGAGGAGGAAAAGGAACAGGATGAGCAGGAGGAGGAGGCGGAGGGTAGACGACGACCAATGATATGATACGGCTTGTTTGTGGAGTATGTTACTTGTTTGGTGCCCCTGGATGAGGAGGGATCGGCGGCAATGAAACCCCGATTTGCTTTTCTTTTGCACGTCGTGCCTCTGGAACCAACTCGACATGGTGGTGACGGGTAGTTGCGTGTCGTCCCGTTTCCCGTGTGCGTGAGACGATTTTGCCTTCAACATATTCGTTGTCGTTGTCTTCGCATCCTGGAGGTCGAGGCCCGTGCTAGCAGCTAGAGCTTGACGGGAACGTCCAAACAGCTGTATTGATGCCCCGATCGGCCTTCTACATATAGGCTGCGTTCATGTGAGCTGGTCCGATCTGAGTCGTTGCAGCCCCCCTCCACCGCCCCTTCTTCTTCCTCATTGAGGATTTGACACTCGATCGCTACACATCGGAGCGAGGTTTTGCGGTAGTCGACGTCACCCCTTCCCGACTGCCTTCGTGTCCACGCGCGTGTCTCATTATAGAAGGCGCACGAGAAGATGTCATTGCATCAGGGCACGCCCGTTTTATCACGCCTCTCATTGTTTTTGTAATGGACATTGATGTTCTCGCCACTTCCCTTGACCGCTCTGTGGACGCTTGTCTTCACAACGCTGTTGCTACAGCAGACTGCGACGAACGCCAGCCCTCCTGTGCTCGAGGACCCACGTCCGTTCCATCAGCCCGTGGCTCAGTGGTCTGTAGGGTGTACGCGATCTTGTTATTTGATCGATGGGGATGCATATCGGGCCGAATCGCAGTTCAGCTCGGCTCGGCTCCTCTGCGCGGCGAGATCCTGGCGGCGGCGGCAGCAAGCCATAACTCTAGAATCTCAGGCAACCCTGGCTATTGCATGTGACCACACTTCGATGGACGCTTCGCAGCCTGCCGGGGGAGGGGGGAGAGGAGGAGGAGACGGAGGAGGAGGAAGAGGAGGAGGAGGAGGAGGAGGACAAGGAGGAGGAGGAGGAGGACAAGGAGAAGGAGGAGGAGGAGGACAAGGAGGAGGAGGAAGAGGAGGAGGAGGAGGAGGAGGAGGGGGGGAGGAGGAGGAGGAGGGGGAGGAGGAGGGGGAGGAGGAGGAGGAGGAGGAGGGGGAGGGGGAGGAGGAGGAGGAGGAGGAGGAGGGGGGCAGAAGGGAGAGAGGGAGGGAATGGGCGCGGCCGGGCTGCCGGCCGTGCCCGCGCCGCCGCGCGCGGGCGCGCAGGGAGACCGGCGTGCGGGGCGGGCTGGTCGCTCCCTCTGGAGCGCTGCGCGGCAGCGTGCGTGGTTTTTGAATCAACAGAATTGGTTTTTGGATTCAAAAACTCAGAGCGTGAATTACCTCCCCCGCTTTCGCTTCCAGGCAAAACCAAGTCGTACCACGCGCCTCCTCGTCAAGCGGCCTTACCAGTACAGGCTGCAATTTGGCATCGTTTGGTATCTCTTGGAAGCGAGGGTGGTCAAAAGCGAGGGAGGTTTGTTTTCCCCCTAAAAACGGGTCTTTGAATTCAAGAACCAGTTCTTTGAATCCAAAAGCCAGTTTTCTCTCGAATTCCAAAACTCGTTGCTTGAATTCAAAACCAGTTTGTTGAATTTAAAGAACTGGTTTTTGAGTCCAAGCAACGGGTTTTCGAATTAAAAACCCAGGCTGTTGAATTCAAGAATCAGTTTTGTGAACTCAAACACTTGTTTTTTCTCTTGAACTTAAAGACCCGTTTTGGGAATTCAAAAGCCAGTTTGTTGAATCCCAAAACATGGAACACATGGAAGATATGTGAGCATGAGCTACAGCTGTTTGTCGCGCCGCGCTTCTAAATTCGCGCCCCCTGGGGGTGGGGGGAGGGAAGGAGGAGGGGAGGGAACGGCGAGACGATCAGGGAGGGCGGCAAACGCAGCAACGGGGCAGAGAGAGAGGGGACGCAAAAAGCGCGGAGGGGCAGCAACGGCAGCGGCAGACACGCGGTTACCAACCCGCTCGCGACTGCCCGGGCATTGCGATCATTCACTGAATCGACGCAATCACTTGTCCAGGCCAAGCTGGGTCAGTAGCTCCTGCGCCCCCTTCTCGAGAGAACCCTTGGGTGCCTGGCCGTACCTGCGCTTGGCCTGCTTCTTAGTGCAGATGGCGGCGATCGTGGTGCAGACGTGCGCCACGAGCTCGTCGTGGCCGGGGCCGCTCAGCCTGAAGTAGAGTTTTTTGTTGCCTGCCTCGTCATGCGCCTTCTTCAGCCGGCGGCAGGGCACGACGGACTGCAATCAGAGCCCCGAATCATCAGGGGTAACTCGGGTCAGGGCTAACTCGGGTTCGTTTTTCGGGATTCCGAACCCGACTTACCCCGGACCCGACTTACCCCGGATAATTCGGGCGTCCAGAGCCCCGAATCATCAGGGGTAACTCGGGTCAGGGCCAACTCGATTTGGTTTTTCGGGATTCCGAACCCGACTTACCCCGGACCCGACTTACCCCGGATAATTCGGGCGTCCAGAGCCCCGAATCATCAGGGGTATAACTCGGGTCAGGGCTGACTCGATCTGGTTTTTCGGGATTCCGAACCCGACTTGCCCCGGACCCGAGCTCCCCCGGATCATTCGGGCGCCCAGTGCAAGGCATCCGAGGAGGGGCCCGGCTCCGCCGGCGGCGGGAGCTCCTCGGGGAACTCCGCGAATGCTTTTTGCGGCACGGCTCCGGGCAGGCGGCGTTGCCGAGCTGCACCACCGGCACTGCGACGAAGCTCGGCGGGCCAGGGCCGCCCTCGCCGTGCCCAGACCTCCCCCGGGCACGCCCTGCAGGCGTTGTGGTCTGCGTCGCCGCGGCCTGCGCCAGGTCGACGGAGGCTTCAACCAGGAAGCACACGAAGGTGACGCCCATGAGGGCCCTCAGCTCCTGAGCGCTCTTCAGCCCGAGTTTCGTGAGGGCACCGACGAGCTCGCGGAGCGGGGCCGGCTCGTCATGGCTCCCTCCGGCCCCTCGTCTAGGCTGGCGGGGCCGCGTCTTGTCCGAGGAAGAATTTCCATGCTTCGGTCATATCACAATGGCTCCTCGTATCTGAAGAAATCCTCTGGAAGATGCACTTGCAAGTGGAACAAAAATACGAATCTTGATCCACATAGCGACGGTCATCGTGACAGAGCGGGCATTCGATAGGAAACGACAGCGGGGTGACTCCTCGCGCCGTGTTCGATCCCCTCGTCCACGCCTCCCTGCAGAAACCTCGCCGAGGACCTTGTTGTAGATGATTCCCCAATCAGAGCTTGCCTCTGAAGGGGTCCTAGCGAATTCATATGGTTAGGTGAGGTATGGCGCCGATGTCGGCGGCACGCCCGGATAACCGGGTGCCCTGGTGCCCTGTTGCCCGGGTGCCCTGGTGCCCTAAAGCTCTATAGCTCTACAGCCCTGTAGCCCTATAGCCCTAATAGCCCCAATAGGCCCTATAGCCCTATAGCTCTATAGCTTTAAATCCTTATGGCCTTAAAGCCCTAAAGCCCTATACCCATTTAGCCCTATATAGTCTTATAGCCCTATAACCATATAGCCTCATAGCCTTAGAGCCCTATAGCCCTATAGCCATATAGTCCTATAGCCGTATAGTCTTATAGCCCTATAGCCCCATAGCCACATAGTCTTATAACCCTATAGCCCTATAGCCCCATAGCCCTAAAAGATTATGGTTGGGACTTTTCTCCGGTATCATATTGAGTAATACGTTTAGTAGCATGTACGGCACGACAGCTGATAAATTGGTAGGTTGAGTACATGTGTTAACCAGTGTACGCCATGGCCACCTTGCCTACTGTGTAATTTATGCGCGCGTAGACCTTTAGCTGTGTTAAACGACTGATTACCTACATGCCAATGTATATCGACAATGCCACACACACATTGGACACAACTGTCAGGAGGGTAGACACCACCAGGATGAAGAGGAGGAGGAGGACGAACATATCCAGGAGGAGGTATGGCAACAGAGGAAAACCGTGACCCGATAATGCCAGTATCCGCCAAAATAAATACATGTTTGACCTCGCTGTCCGTGAACAGCCGGAGAAGGTACTGTACAGTTTCGGCAATGTCTTCTGTGCCGGTGATGTCTGCCAACGCGGCCAGGCCATCGGAAAATTCCAATGCCAATTTGTGAGCACTCGGAAGTAGCCTTCCGTCGCCAGACATCACGGGCTTCGTATCGTTTGCGAGAGTGCCGTACAGAACGGCCAGTACAAGCACGTTGTCGGCAGGACTCCGGACGATTGACTGCAACCATCGTTTTAATCGTTGCACACGGAGCTCCAACTCCGAAGGCAGGAGCCGCATTCTGCGCAGGCTGTCGTGGTTGGACTGAGCCCGGTAACTCTTGGCGTCGCTTGCGTGCTCCATGATATTGCAAGCACCATGGAGGGCTTTGCGTGCCAACGACGCGATTGTGCTGTCAAGTTGAGAACGAAGCAGACGAGTGCACTGTGCGCCGTCCCGTAAACAAGACTCTTGAACAAGACGAATGTCCATCGTGCGATGTGGCACCGGGACCAGGAATTGTCGAGCCTGAAGTACGCTTGTCTAATCGCCGTAGCGCGGCGCTCCTTTTCGACAGAAATGCCATTGTCAAATAGGATGTGCGGTCCCAGATACCTGGCTGCTCGTTTGACGGTGCCCGGCACAAGGTCACGGGTCCACTGCGCCGCCTTATTGCACGCCCCAGAACTTTTCCCGATAATTCTGACCAAGTTTTCCGCTTTGCCGGCGTTTTGTCGGTACCCTTGCGGACTGGTGGAAACATTAAATTCGTCTTGAAAGGACCGTACTTTCGTGGCGAGGTCCACGAGCGTGGTAATCGACAGCGTGTGTGCCACGTCATCGGCGAAGGTGCTCCGAGCAACGTCCCTGGTCCGAGAAGCTGTAGCGTCGTGCAGGACCTCCGGGCCTCCGGTATCCAGTTTGCACTCCATATTAATGGCGTGCTGCTGCAGCCTACTATCATCCAAAGCAGATCGGGGGTGGACACACCTCCTACCCTGACTCGTCGATAAGCGACTTGGCCGTTTTCGGTTCGCGAGAGGTCGTCGCGGCCGTCATGTTTGCGGGTCCAGGTCCGTCGGTTTCGGTCTTTCTCCTGTTTTCACTAAAGGGAGGTTTGCTAAAGGGAGGTTCTGTCCACCGCCGAGCAGAGTGGAAGGGAGACACAAACCACGGTCCAGCAGCTGTGTCTCCGGGGAGCGTGCACTGACGAATGTTAGGGTCGGCGAGCCCGTCCAGGCAGCGGATTCTGGCCGAAGCGTATTGGACGCGTTAGGACAACTGCAAAGCAGGTGTCTCGTTGCACACGGCCGTCGCGTACTCCCGCAGCTTCTGTTGGTCGACGCAGGCGAACGCGTTCGACATGTCCAGGAAGGCTGTGGTATGGGAGACACCGTTCGAGGCCAAAGGGTCGCGCAAGACAATCTGAGACATGATGGCCTGCTCGCGCCGCCTCCGCGGCAAATATGCGCATGCGCAGAGACGACGCACGGTGTGGCGCGTCCGGCGGGTGCAAGCGGCAGGCAAGTCGACCACGTGGCCGCTGTAGCCTTCTTCGTGTCCTGGCCGGGAGAATCGGTCGATGGTCTCGGCAAGTGTGAAAATCGGGGAGCCGACCGCCGACGACGACCGCTCCTTCGGCCCCGAGGAACGGTTTGACAATCTCCCCGACATTCTCCACATGGTTGAAAAAGCTCTCCTCCTCCCCCCCTCCGACTCCCCCATGAATGCCTGCATCCGCCCCCTCCCAATAGCCCCCTCCCAATAGCCCCCTTCCTCTGATGAACCTTTGTTGTTGTTGTTGTTGTTGTTGTTGTTGTTGGTGTTCTTGTTGGTTTGGTTGTTGTTGCTTTGACGAGTTGCTTTGCTTGCTGAACGCATGGTACGTCCTCCCCCTTCTCCTCCATGAGCCCAGGGGGTGGCGGTGGAAGCGAATGGAGGGCGACACGAGCGGCGGCTCGGTCAGCTCGGGCTCGCTGGAGTTCCACCGGCTCCATTGCCGGAAGAACATCCAGAAGAGACCGGAACCGCCCAAAGAATTTGTTGCTTGCTTGTTTGTCGCTGGCATTCCGAGGCTCTTGGGGGGCATACCCGACGAAAAAGCAAGTGTCGATCGTAGGTGTTTTAACTCGTGCTCCCCCCGCCGGTCCCTAAAGGTCACGAGGTCCTCCAGAATCCCTCCAATCGTAAACTCTACGAATCGACTCCTTGTCAAAGAGACGCCGGTGAAGAAGAAGAAGAAGAAGAAGAAGACGAGATAGACCAGTACCACGCCTACGGTTGTTACCCTGATCCCATCGAAGACGATGAAGTACACCGACCTTGGGTAACGTATGTTCGTCCTCCGTGTCAACATGCGTTGCAGGAAGAGCGACTGCTGCGCATGACCGGAACTGTTCGGCAATGTCTTTCCACTTGCCCGCCTGTTGCATCGAGCATGGATTGCACACGCACGCTTGCAGCGACGGCATGTCAGAGGCAAGAATGAGACACCATGGAACGTGCAGCGGTGAGGAAGCGTCCAACGATAATGGGGCACTACGGCGCCGGGACACAGGGTAGGAAGGAACATGCAGTAAGCCGTCGGGAACGCCGTTGATTCCTTCAACGGCTGAGGAGGAGGAGGACGACGATGAGGAGAAGGAGGAATAGGAGGACGAGGAGGAGAAGGAGGAGGAGGAGGAGGAGGAGGAGGAGGAGGAGGGGGAGAGGAAGGACCACGACGACGACGAGAGGGATGGGGAGGAGGAGAGGGACGGGGGGTCTCAGTGGCCTCTGAGGGTTCCCAGGGGGTTCCTACCTCTCGGGAGATTTCGGAGGCCCCGTAGGCAAGAGCAGGGAAAGGAGGGAGGGAGAAGGCGGGACGAGCGCGAGGCAGCGGAGGGGAGGGGCGGCAGGAGGGGGGGGGGGGATTGGGTTGGCGACGGGCAGCCGTCAACGCGTATACAGTCGGGGCCCTGAAGAAGGAACGCTTTTCGTTGGGGAGGGGCTCCGCGTTCCCGAAGTGTTTTGCAGCTTGCCTCAGGGTTTTCTTATGTTTTCGATGGGAAATCGAAGTTTGACTTATGAAAAAAAGGGGCCTCGTTCCTGATTTAGGGTTCCTCAGGTCAACGCCCCGACTGTAGATGCCCACAGGGTCTGCATCTGCTCGTATTCACCGAGGCGGCCAGTTCCAGAAGGACAAGGAGACCTGGAAGAAGGATGCAGCCTCGATCTCCTCCCACCTCCTCGGTGATCGATGCCTTGTCCATGCCCCTACTGCTGCCTCCAAATGGACGCCAAGGGAGGTGAACATGAACCCGGCGCGACCCCAATGATGGGTCTCTCGTTTTCCAACGCAATTCAAAACAGTTCTGAGCAATGCGACGCAACGCAATGCAAATCGTTGCTTGGCGTTGCTTGGCGTTGCTTGGCAGTGCTTGGCCTCGGTTGGCATTGCTTGACATTGCTCGGCATTGTTCGGTATTGCTAGGAGTTGCTTGGCATTGCTTGCCACTGCTTGACATTGCTTGGCATCGCTTTGTCTTGCTTGGCATCGCTCTGTCTTGCTTGGCATTCGCTGGCACTGCTTGGCAACCGGGCAGCTGGCCAAGCGACCCTGAGGAACGCCAGGCGCTGCCTCTTGGGAGCGACGTCGGACTCGCCGGCCTCACAAACCGGGATGGGCCCCCTGAGGCAGAGTCTGCCTTGGGGAATGGGCCACCGGGGGCCAAGCCTGCGTCCGTGCCCCCACTGCAGCCCCGTGCGGGGTCGGCACGTGGGCAGGGGTATTGGATAACACGTTGGTTGCCTGCTTCCTTCCCCCCCTACTCCAGATTTCGTAGTAAAAGGGAGGGGGTCTGGACCCTCCAAGACAAGCCATTTCAGACCTCCCCCGTGGGAGAACCCTCCAAAACATCGTCCCCAGACCCCCCAGGCCCTCCAAGATAGCCTGGAAGAGACCCCCCCCCCCCGAAATGAGACCCCCCTCCCTTTATTACGAAGTCTGGAGTACCGTTTCTCCCCCGCATTCGGAAAAGCCCTCCCGAGCTCTGCGAGGGCCCAGCCAGAGGCCCTTCGGGGAGCCCTGCCTCACTGCGCTCTCCGCGCCGTGGCCGCGCCGCCCGTCCGCACGGCTCGCGCACAGTGGCCGCCCCGCTGGCAGCGTGCCGAGCTGCTTCTGAAGTGGCTCTGCACCCGTGGAAGCCGTACGGTAGAGGGAAACAATTAGTGAACACACCCCCTGCCCCCAAAACTCAAAGTTGGCACGCGGGGGGGAGACTGCGGTCGAGGTGCAACTCATCAGACCCACCGCCAACTTTGAACATTGGGGGAAGGGGGAGGCGTTCACAGATGAATGTGGCATGAGTGTTCGCTAATTTTTTCCGAGGCCTGTATGTCCCCACTCTCCCCACCGCCATCCGTTGCCTCGAATCGGGCCTGTCCCTCTGCAGGAGGAATACGTATTCAGAAATAGTACCAAAAATATCGTCCGGGGACGATTCTGTGAGCAGTCGTGGACTCTGCTGGGGGTATGTTTTTTTGCGTATTTGTTTTGTCATGTTCGCCCGAAGTCCGCCTGTACAGTCGGGGCCCTGAAGAAGGAACCTTTTTTGTTGGGGAGGGGCTCCGTGTTTCTTGATCGTTTCACAGCTTGCCTCGGGTTTTCCCCAGGCTTTCGATGGGGCATCGAAGTCGAACTTCTGGGAAAGGAGGGGCCTCGTTCCTGATTTGGGGTTCCTTAGGTCAACGCCCCGACTGTATGCTGGGGGTATGTTTTTGCGTATTTTTGTAATTTTCGCCCGACATCCGCCTGTCGGGGGGGCATGCCCAACCTGACCGTGGCCCCTCCGCCCGCGTGCTCCCCCGTGCGCGCCCCCTCCCCGGAGGGCCCCGCTGCGCTCCGCTCCGCGGTGCTCGTCTCTCCGCCATGCTCAAGTCGGGCCTGTCCCTCTACAAATAATCAAAAATAATTAAACAGAGTGGGAAAAATAGTAAAAGAAACGGGGAATATCCAAAAATAGTCCAACATAGTCTGGGGACTATCTTTGGGGGATTTGTTGTTGCCATTTGGGAGTTTTTTTGGAGTATGTTTTATTTTTCGTCGAAAATCCCCCTGTAGGGGGACACGCCCCACTTGACGCTATGCTCTCTCCCTGGTTTATTTTCAAGTCGGGCCTGTCCCTCTACAGGGGGAGCCTTCCAAAACAGCAGAAGAATAGTCTGGGGACCCTGTTCTGACTATGTTTGGTCATCTTTGGAGTATGTTTTGGGTATTCCTATGTTTCGCCCCAAATCCCCCTGTGCGGGGACATATCCTCCTCCTCCTCCTCCTCCTCCTCCTCCTCCTCCTCCTCCTCCCCCTCCTCCTCCTCCTCCCCCTCCTCCTCCTCCTCCTCCTCCTCCTCCTCCTCCTCCTCCTCCTCCTCCTCGCCCGACCTAAGCTTGTTTTCTTCTTTCCGCCCTCGGCGCCCCCGGGTGGATCGCACTGCCCTCGCATCCCACAGTGGGGGCCCATGGCAAGAATTATGTCGGGCGCGTCCCCCTACAGGGGGATTGTCGATGGAAAAAAACAAATACCCCCAAAACATTTCCCAGAAAGGCAACAAAAATACAACCAAAAAAAAAAGTCCCTGGACTATAGGTTCGGATTATTGTTTGAGCATTTCCGGTGTATTTTTTTATTTTTCGTCGAAAATCCCCTTGTAGGGGGGACAGGCCCGACTTCAGGGTTCCCTGGGCTCCTGTGGCCGGCGTCCGGCGCGGAAGGTCGCCGCAGTCTCGAAGAAGCCTGGGAATGCCAGGGCTCAGTGGGCTGCCTCGTCCGCAGCCGAAGTGCAAGAAACCCACCCCTGGTTCGGATGCAACTCCGGGGAGGTTAAATTCTGACTTTGCCCTGGTCCGAAAACCGGCTTAATCCGGCTTAATCCCGCTTAATCCGGCTTAATCCCGCTCAATCCCGCTTAATCCGGCTTAATCCTGCTTAGTCTGAGGCCCATTCCGGCGTAACAGTCCCCAAATGGGACTTAATCCTCTTTAATTTCTCCGACGAAAACCTCCCAGTAGTTGCCTCCTAACCCTGGACTTATGATGCTCCAACCTACTTTAGCCTTGACCGCCAGGAGAAATCTCGAGCGCCCCAAACGAGTACCGAAGCTCCAGGGTTTTCGCGTGCCGGGCCCCGGGAGACACTCGCCCGACACTGTTTCGACGCTGCTTCGGCACTCTTTTGACACTTCTCTGGGTGCTCGAGATGATTTCTGGGATGCGGTCCTTGAGTACAGTCGGGGCCCTGAAGAAGGAACCCTTCTCGTTGGGGAGGGGCTCCGCGTTCCTCAAGTGTTTCACAGCTTGCCTCAGGTTTTCCGTATGCTTTCGAGGGGGCATCGAAGTCTAATGTATGGAAACAAGGGGCCCCGTTCCTTCCTTAGGGCTCCTCAGGTCAACGCCCCGACTGGTAGGACGGGAGCAGCATGGCCCTGGACTCGGCGTCACCCCAACATACTAATACCATGTGTGCGTCGGCCCCCCCAGGGGCGACGCGCGCACCGAGAAATCTTATAGTATACACCTGAGGCGATGCTCAAGAAAACTTAAGTTTTCGGCCAGAGTCTCGATGATTCTTAATGTTTCAATTTGATTCCTAAGATTTCGAAAGGAATTCTGGGTTTTTATTCAAATTCTGAGACTGTTAATTTCTTAACCCATGATTTCTTAAGCATCTCGCAGGGTGTATGCGTCGTGGCGGGCGCTTTCCGGCCACACCGCTCGGAGAAGTATACACTACAAGCTGGGTATACTATACATATTCGGGTCGGGCGCGCGCCTCCCAGGAGGACATACATAGTATCAGTATGTCTCTGTGCGCCCCAGGGAGCAACATAGCCCTGGACCACGAGGCCCCGGCGGATCTCAGGCTGGGGTGTCCTGCGCGGTGGGCCTCTTCCTGTGGGCTGGCCCCCCCTATGCCGGGGGGCGCCGCCTGCCTCTCGCGCGCCGCGCCTCCCCCTCTTCCCGCTCGCGCGCCCTCGCTCGGACCTCGCTCCGGCCAGCTGTCAGTCGGGCCCGTCCCTCCGCAGGAGGGATATTCCAAGATAGTACGAAAAAATAGTCCAGATTTCGATAGTACGAAAAAATAGTCCAGATTTCGTAATAAAAGGGAGGGGGTCTCAACCCTCCCAAACGAGAAGTTTTAGACCCCCCCCCCCGTGGGAGAACCCTCCAAAACATCGTCCCCAGACCCCCCCAGGCCCTCCAAGATGGCCTGGAAGAGACCCCCCCCCCGAAATGAGACCCCCTCCCTTCTATTACGAAATCTGCTGCAGTCGGGGGACTACTTTGGGGGGATATCTGCTCGACCACGTGGGAGCACGTTTTGAGTCTTCTCTATCTTCCCTCGAAGATCCCCCTGCAGGGGGAGGAGGAGGAGGAGGAGGGAGGAGAGGAGGAGGAGGAGAGGCGGAGGAGGAGGAGGAGGAGGAGGAGGAGGAGGAGGAGGAGGAGGAGGAGGAGGAGGAGGAGGGAGGAGGAGGAGGAGGAGGAGGAGGAGGAGGAGGAGGAGGAGGAGGAGGAGGAGGAGAGGAGGAGGAGGAGGAGGTGGAGGAGGAGGAGGAGGAGGAGGAGGAGCACGCCCGACGGAAGGCTCGTTTGCACATCCCCCCCCCCCCGCCTGGCTCTCGGAGCGCCGGCGGGCGGACATCCTCTCGGACTTGCCGTCCCCCCGGGTCGCCGCGCGCCGCGCGGGCAGGAGGGGGCCATGAAGGCCTTCGACGTCTGGTTCGAGGAGCAGGCCAGGTTTGCCTGCGACAAGGCCCGCCCGAGGAGGAGGAGGAGGAGGAGGAGGAGGAGGAGGAGGAGGAGGAGGAGGGAGGAGGAGGGAGGAGGGCAGGGCGCCCCCAGGGGGGGGGGGGGGGCCCCCCTTTTCGCCGGAGGTTCTCCCTCGAGCCGCCTGAAGCCCACCGACCTTCCTCGTCCTCCCTCCCCGCCTCTGTCCTCCCTCCCCCTGTCCTCCCTCTTGCCTCCCCCCCTCCTCGCTCCCTCCCCCCCTCTCGGATGATGAGGAGCAGGAGGAGGGATGAAGTAGGTGGACGAGAAGGTGCCCGAAGTGGATGGATGATGATGAAGAAGATGAAGATGAAGATGAAGATGCATATGATGATGTTGATGATGAATATGATGATGTTGATGATGATGGTGATGGTGATGGTGATGATGCTGATGATGCTGATGATGCTGACGATCATCATAATGATGATGACGATGAGAAGGATGGTGGTGATGATGCTGATGGTGGTGATGATGCTGCTGATGCTGGTGGTGATTGTGATACTGCTGATGATGATGGTGATGATGATGATTATGCTGATGTTGATGTTGATGCTGCTGCTGATCGTAATGGTGGTGATGATGGTGATGGATGATGATGTTGATGCTGATGCTGATTAGGATGATGCTGAGTATGATGGTGGTACTGATGGTGGTGGTGGTGATGCTGGCAATGGCGACGATGATGCTGATGCTGATGCTACTATGATGTTCATGATCATGATCATGATGATCATGATGGTGCTGATGATGGTGATGCTGATGATACTGATGATGAGGAGGATGATGAGGATGATGAGGATAATGAGGATGATGATGATGATGGTATGTTGGTGATGATGATGAAGATGAAGATGATGTTGATGATGAAGATGATGATGTTGATGATGATGGTGATGATGATGGTGATGATGATGATGATGATGATGATGATGATGATCCGTGGCGTTTTGCAGGGAAAGGATATCATGATGGTCAACACGTTGTTGGGCTCTGGCGGGGAGCCGCAACCAGCGGTGCAGCCGCAGCGCTTGCCCGATGGTCCACGCTCTGTTGTTTCTGCACCGTCGCGCGGGTGTGGTGGCCACCAGTGACCACAGAGCGACTCCAGCCAGGCAGTACGGGCCCGAAGAGTGGACTAGGCACGGCGACTACATAGATGATGACCCACAGCTGGCGGCGCTCCAAGGGGGGAAGTGAGAGGGAGTGGACCTTCTCAGAAGGCTCCGCCCCCAGCCTTCTGAAGAATTTTCAAAGCCTGCCCGGACGCCACAAGTCTTTCAGAAGGCCGGTTTGTGACCAGTTCGATCGTCGGCTTGTGACCCAGCCGGTTTGTGACCAGTTCGATCGTTTTTCGTTGTGTGCTGCCCTCGATTAGGTTCACGGTTGTCGCACCACCGCCCGATTGTTTTCGGCCGACTACGCGTTTGCAAAAACCGCTTGGGGAAGCTCCCACCCCCTGAGGACGTTATTCGAGATGTGGTTTGGCCAATGCGGGTCTCGGCTGCGTTTCACGAGCACCTTCGTTCAGAGGCTCCTCAAGGTCCACTCGGCCGCCTGGCACTATTGAAGGCGACCATCCAGGAGGATCCCGGAGGTGTCCAACCGCACACGGGTCGAAAAGGCCGCCGCGGCACGCCTGCTCGCGCCGTCCGAAGAGGACGAGCTCGGCCTGGTCCAGGGTGCTCTCCGCAAGCTGGAGCCCTCTCGCTGGCCGTGCGTTCCGCGCCTCGCCGCTCGCAGTCCCGCTCTCGACGACGTCTGACCAGGACCCCGCCCTGATTCCGGATCCGCCCTACTTTTCTGTTGTTGTTTCCGCCCCACTTCTGTGGACTTTCGCCCTGTTTTATGCTGGGTGCAGAGAGTTCCGCCCTACTTCTTGTTCGGCTTCTTACAGGTGGATTTCCGACGCAATTTTCAATTTGCAAAAAAAGCCCAAAGTAGGGGCGGATCTGGAGTCAGGGCGGGGGCTCCCGCCGCGATTCTGCGCCCCCTCGCAGGGAGTCTGGCACGTGCGGCGGCGCGGGCGGAGAGCTGGAGCAACGCTGCCTCCGGAGCTGCCGAGCTGCCTCCCAGCTGCGGCCCGCGGCTGCCCCGCGCCGCAGGGGTGGCATCGTGCGCCTGGCCTGCCACTTGGCCCCTGACTGGGCCGTTCCTCCTCCTCCTGCTCCTCCTCCTCCTCCTCCTCATCATCATCATCATCATCATCCTCACCCTCCTCACCCTCCTCCCCCTGCTCCCCCTCTTCCCCCTCCTCACCCTCCTCACCCTCCTCACCCTCCTCCTCCTCCTCCTCCTCCTCCTCCTCCTCCTCCTCCTCCTCCTCCACGCGCTGGAAGACGCCGACGGCACGGTCCGGACAGGCCCCGTAGAATTCGGGACGATGGAAATGGGCACGGGAAGAATGGGACCGACGCCCAACAACAGTTCCATATCATTTTGAACACGACTCGTTGTCCGCGCCGCCGCGGACGCTGTTCTTCGAAGACAAGGAGCCGCCTGCCCAACGGCGGCCGCTGTCGGTGTTGGACAACATGTATGGTTAGGCATTGTACCAAGTTTCTCCGTGCCCACTTCGGGCGTCCGAGGGAGTCCTCGGAGGGGCTCGCGGCGCCTGCAAGGTATGCCCGCTCAATGCTGCAGGACATGCGGCGCTCGACGAGGCCAGCATGGTTTTTCTGCCCAAAAAAGACCCGCTGCTCTAACGCAGGTGCATCGCACACCAGGGCGGCGGACCTCAGACCACTTCAGCATCGTCGGCACAGACAACCGCTCACTGGCAAACGCGCTACGACTACGCATCGAACCCATTCTGGAGCAGGTCATGTCGAACATGCCGCAGTGTTTGTTGGCCAGCAGGTCCACGTTGAAAAATGTGATCGATGTTGGTTCGTGTTTGGGAGAAGCGACCTTAAACGCAGACGGCCGCGCGGCTGTCTTCTACGACTTTCAAGCTGCATTCCCGCCGCTATCTCGCACTTTCCTGCTGAGGTCGTTGCAAGGCCTGGGGCTGCCAGCGACGGTCTGCAGGTTCGTGGAGTGTCTGCACTCGGGGCATGGTTGTCGACTGAGCGCCTTTGGACAACAGCACCCAAGCTTCAATATCAGCGCGGGTATCCGGCAAGGATGCCCACTCTCTTCATTGCCCTGGCCGTTGTGGTGGGTTCATTGTCACGACGGTTCCGCCGGATGTTGCCGTCAGCAACAGCGGGCATATGCGGGCGATCTTGTAATTGCATTTAAGACCCTGGCACGGGCGCTACCCTGTCCTGCGCAGATAACCGCATGCCGATGATAATAAAGGGACCCCCCCCCCTTCAGTGTTTAGAGTTGATTATCGTCGCCCTATACAAAATTCAAATTGGGCGGCGAGCGCTGAGGCCGAACTTCATTATCACCTCGAAACGCTATGTTGAGATAGCAACATCAAGCGATGTTGATATAGCAACATCAAGCGAAGCGATCACACTTTTTCAGGATGTGTCAAGCGAAACCAATAATTTTGGGAGGCAGACTCAAACGAAACGAGCAATGTTATTATTATTATTCTACTTTCCTCTTCTTCTTTTATATTTCTATCTGTCCTCACGCTCGCCTGAACTTTTTTATCCCTGGGTTTGATTATCCATGGAAAATGAAGCACATGAGCTACCTACACGAGCACTTTAAAAAATCAATGTTCATAAAGCGTTTGTAAATTAAAATTGATAGATTTGGAACTTTGGATTTTTCCTTTCTTCGTCCTCTTCTTATTCTCCTCTTCTTCTTCTTTCTTATTGCTCTTCTACTGTATTTTTCATCTTTTATATTTCTCTCTGTCCCCACGCTCGCCTGAACTTTTTTATCTCTGGGGTTGATTATCCATGGAAATTGAGGCACATGAGCTACCCTACACGAGCACTTACAAAAAAAAACAAATTTCATGAGAGATAAGCCAGTGTTGAGGATATTTCTATGAAAACTAAACACCAAGGATGTCTCAAAACGTGCTCGGCTTGGTTTCCTCTTGATCATCTCTTACTTCGAGATTATGCTGAGGTCTGCTGGGCTACTCTTATTATCTCTCCCTGAACCCCGAACTTTATTATCCCCTAGTGTTTATTCTCACGGGCATGAGGTTATTCGCCGATTTTGCAACTGCCTCTGGCCTCCGGTTCAACTTCCGGAAAGTGGTTACGTGTCGCTTGGCGACAGCCCCCCGGACGGCGTCGCACAGCATACATCGGCCACGCTTCCTACTTGGGGTTTTGTGCAGCGCAGGCCGCGGGCCAAGTATCTAGGCTTTGCATTCGGGCCCGGGCGCGCAGAACACAGTTGGGACGCAGCCCTGGACAGAGCGGTCGCGAGGGCGCGGCTGTGGGCTCGCGTGGCCCTAGGATTGCAGCGCGCACCGTTGGTGTACAGGGTGCACGTGGCCTCCGCGCTGAGCTTCCTGCGGCAGCCGGAGCCCTCGCTGGTTCGCTGGGCTTCCGTGGAGACGCAGATGCTTCGCATCTCTTCGTGCCTGGGCCCTGCCGCTGGCCGTCGACCTGCACACGCACTGCGGAGGGACTTCGGCTTCCTGCGAAACACCGCGGACGTACGCGACGTGTCGTTGGCCGAGAAGCCAGGGCTGCGCGCGTGGAAGCACGGGGTCAAAGAGGACTCCGCCATCGCGAATGGCTTCGACGTCCAGCAGCGGCCGAGCGCGCGCCTGACCGCATTCTCCGCCCAGCCCGGTGGTCCGGCTGGTCCGCTGGATCTCATTGTGACGCCGTGGCGGCCGCGGTGGAGGCCTTCGGCGGGAGGGCGGCGCCATCTCCGCAGTGCTTGAACGCGCAGCTGGCGCCGCTGTGCGCCCTTGGACGCGGGTGCAGGCCCGCCGCGCGACAGCTGGGATTCAGCCCGCAGGGTGCGCGCTTCTCCAGGAGCGGCGCCGGCGCTGTCCAGAAGCCCGCGCGCGGGCCAAGTCGGAACGGTGGGAAGTGCCTCTTTTCCCGCGAGTGCGCAGCAGGCGTTGGAGATGCTGGCCCCGCCGAGCGTGGCAGCCGCAATCTTTCGCCCGCTGTGGTCAGGCTGGTGCACAGCTCGCCGTTTCGACGCTCGCTCGGCTTGCTTCGTCTGCGGCCAGGAGATCGGGGGCTCCGTGGGTTACGCGTCCGTCTGCCCGACGCTTGCGCGCGCGGGTGCTAAATTTTTGCGACTCCCGTGCCGCCGTGAGAAAAGGCAGCGTCGCGTATCTTTCTCGCTGCTCGACAGGGCGTCCGAGCTGACCGATGAACGTCTTCAGCTGGGCGCCCCCCACGTGGCGGCGGCGTGGCATCACCCATCGGCCTTGCGGGGCGAAGACGCGGCGCGGCGGGCAGTGGAGCAAGCTGCAAAAGAGCTGGCGCAAGGACACAGCGCAGCCATGTCGATGATGGATGCCCACTGGAGCTCCAGACGGGCGACCGCGGGCATTTCAGAGCAGCGATGTGGAGCTGCGTAGTCGCGACAGCAGGCGGCCGCCACAGGTGCTGGTCCAGGTGATACCTCTTCTTTGTTTATTTGTGTTTGTTTGGTCAGCGCCCCAAGGTGGCCTGGGGCACTCCAGTTGCCGCCGCTGTTCCCTCATCTTCCCCTTCCTCCTCATCCTGTGCCCTGTTTAGCTGGCACAGCGGCCTGGGCCGCGGCGTATCCCAATCTCCAGGCGGCGTAGGTGTCCACATATTACTTCTTTTGGTGCAGGTCGACTGGGCTGCGTGGCCGACGACAGGCCGCGTTCAACTCCCGTCTCTGCGTCCGCCTGCGCGGCCGCTCGTCCTGTCACGGCGCCCGTTCGCATTCACACCATACATACGCCATCGACCAGCGTCGGGTGGTTTCGCTTGCCAGTGCTACCCTCCCTTCCTCTCTTCTGCTCTCTCCACCTGACTGACACGCCGCTGCTCGCGAGGGTCTTTAGTGCGAATGCCGGCCACGTGGGCTGGTCTGCGCACGCGCGCGCATGGCTGCAGTTACTCTTCTGGATCCAGTGCCGTCTCACGCTGAGTATGTGGCGCACCGGCTCCGCGACATCTAGATTCTCCTGTGTTCGAACAAATACCCGCATTTCCGCCCCCCTTTTCTTCCTCCTCCTCCTCGTCCTCCTCCTCCTGTTGCCCGTCCTCCTTCGCTTTACTTCCCTGCTGCCCCCAGCTGGCGAGAGACTCTCTGAGAGAACAACCGCCTTTTGTTGCGCGCGCGTTCTCCTAAGCAGTGGCGGCATGCGCTCGCTGCGTTGGCTCCGTTTGTGCGTTTTTTTCTGCTCCCTCCCTCGCTCTTTTCTTCCCTTGCCAGCTGTCTTTCTCTGTCGCGCCAGTGGTTTCGCTTCACCCAGGAGGAGAGGGCGGTGACGGCCCTGTGGCAAGACAGCTCGCTGACTCCCCACTCTCAGTCCCATTGTGGGCATCGGTTTGTGGTGTCATCACTGCCGGGAAAAAATGGGAACCTTTTTGGGGTTTTGGGTCCAGGGTCTTGCGTGAGGGCATTTGAAAAGTCCCGCCGCCTTTGAAAAGGCCTCTTCCTTCTCGCTTCCCCCCAAGGCCTCTTCCTTCTCGCTTCCCCCCCTCGCTCGTCGCCGACACAGAGCGTCATTACCCAGCCAAGGAGGGCCTCCAGCACCAGCAAGAGAACCACGAAGCAGCAAGCCGTAGAGACGATAACCTCCTCGAGCACCACGAAGGCCTCCACGGGCATCAGCACGAACAACGACCTCCGCGAGCATCCTGTCCGAGGCGGCCCCCGCGGGCGCGAGCGTGAAGGAGGCATCCGCAAACAGCCTCCCGGGGAAGGCTCCCACGAGCGCACCGACAAAGGATGCCTCCACTCCTCCTCCTCCTCCTCCTCCTCCTCCTCCTCCTCCTCCTCCTCCTCCTCCTCCTCCTCCTCCTCCTCCTCCTCCTCGCGCCCCGTAGAGTACACTTCCAAGAGCGCTGGCACGAGTCAGGCGTCCACGAGTACCCTCCTGGAGAAGGCCTCCGCGAGAATATTCGTGGGGACCTCCATGAGCGCCTTCCGAAGAGGGCCTGCGCGGGCGCAAGTGACGAACACCCCCGCGAGCGTCCGCCAGTAGAGGATCTCCACCAGGACAAACAAAGACCTCGGCGATGACGTTCCGAAGAAGACGAGCACCACCACCAAGATAACCTCCACGACCACCTTCCTGGAGAACGTTTCCGTGAGCACTTTGATGGCGAAGGCCTCCACGAACACCCTCCGAAAAAGGCCTCTACGAACGCTGGAATGAAGAAGACCTCCGCGAGCACCCTTCCAGAGAAGGCCTACACGAGCACGTTGATGAAGAAGAAATCTGCGATCACCTTCTGGAGACGGCCTTCGCGAGCACCAGCGCGAAGAGAATCTTCACGAACACACTCCCAGAAAAGGCCTCCGCGTACACCTTGATGGCGAAGACTTCAACGAACACCCTCCGAAGAGGCCTCTGTGAGAACCAGCGTGGCGAAGAAGAGTAATAATACTAATACTAAGAAGAAAGCGTTGACTCATAATCAGAAGAATCTGTATACTCAGAAGAATGAAAAGAAACATCCTAAGACACATAAGAGTAATATTAGCAAGATAGAAGGAAAAAGGAACACAATGATACTCATAACACGCTTCCACGAAGACCCCCGAAGAAAAGGCCTCCGCGATCCTCTTCATAAAAGGAGGCCGCCGTGGAAACGCTGCACAGTGACCCTGCCCACAAGCACCCCCAGAAAGCACTCCGCGCGGAAGAGCACGCCGAGGAAGCGGGAGCAGGGCGCCCCCGACACCACAATTCAAGGGAGGAATAGCCGCCAGGACCCGATACTTGGCGTTTGCTGAACGGCCCTGGGCGTCTACTGGACAGCCCTGCCCTGTTCAATCACTGATTTGCGTGCGTTTACTAAACGGCCTCGCGTGTCGGGGTGATTACTCCAGATTCCGTAATAAAGGGAGGGGGGTCTCATTTCGGGGGGGGTCTCTTCCAGGCTATCTTGGAGGGCCTGGGGGGGTCTGGGGACGATGTTTTGGAGGGTTCTCCCACGGGGGGGGGGGTCTGAAGTGGCTTGTCTTGGAGGGTCCAGACCCCCTCCCTTTTATTACGAAATTTGGAGTATGCTGGGGGGGGGGGGGGATTTTGCCCTCCAACAGTACCCAATCCACAGTGCTGGTAGCCAGAGGGCAGCGCGAGCCCGCGCGGCGAGGGAGCCGCGAGGGCTGCACCGCGCGCAGCGCGTCGGGACCCGCGGCGTCGCGGCGGCGGCCAGGGGCCTGCCACCCTCCTCCTCCTCCGCCTCCTCCTCCTCCTCCTCCTCCTCCTCCTCCTCCTCCTCCTCCTCCTCCTCCCCCTCCTCCCCCTCTCCCTCCCCCCCTTCCCCTCTCCCCTCCTCCTCCTCCTCCTCCTCCTCCTCCTCCTCCTCCTCCTCCTCCTCCTCCTCCTCCTCCTCCCCCACTCGGCCCGACGGGGATGTGGTCGTGTCCTTGATGACGGCGGCACCAGCTCGGCGTCACCCCAGTATGCTAATATGAACTCGGGCCTGTCCCTCTACAGGAGGAAGACTCAAGAACAGTCAAGAAGTGGTGGTGGGATGATGTTTGACTAGGTTTGACTAGTTTGGTGTAGCTGTAAACAATTTCTTGTTCGTCCTCCAAACTCCGCCTGTAGGGGGACATGCTCGACCTGTACTAGGTGCGTCGACCCGCCCTCCCCCCCCAGGGGCGACGCGCGCACCGAGAAATCGTATTGTACATGCGTCGTGGCGGGCGCTTTCTGGCCACATCTCTCGGGGAACGATGTACTACAAGACGGGTAAACTATGTTCGGGCCGGACGCGCGCCTCCAAGGAGAACATTTCGTATTGCATCCCTCGTCAAAAATAAACTGAAGGATTATGTTTTCGGTGATTGTATGGTCAGCGCTACTCCAATGCTGACGCTAGATATCTGACGTGGACGCAAGGGCTTCAAAAATCCGACGACCCCTCCGCAGCATTGAAGAACGCAGTTTCTAACAAGTGCCCGAGAAGATCGATCGTCGTGATTTCCAACTGCGTTTCTGTTTATTTCTGACGAGGCTTGTAGTATGCCTTCGTGCGTTTCATCATCCCGCACAGCACGAGGAGGAAGGACTCCGCGCACGGCCGACGGCCTGCGAGACGCCGATCCAGCAGGGGTGGCCTCTGCACCCCATAACGCACGACAGCCAAATGTATACTGCACCTCGCGGAGGGAAGGGCGAGACTTAAAACGACACGAAGATCGGGACAAAATCTGATCAGGATAACTCGAAATCTCTGAGAATCGGCGGGTTTGGAGGATGTATTGGGCGCCGCGGCCGCTCCAGAGCGTTCCGGAACGCTTTGAGAGCGCTCCGGAACGCTCTGGAGCGATTTATCCCGATCCTAGCCTTGTTTTATCCGAGAAAAAGAATAGTTGAACCACACCTTGGCCGTTGCACACCGTTGCCGGCACCTCAAGGTGGAAACTGGTGCTTACCGGTTGCATACTGCACGAATCCTGGAGGCCCGGAGAACCAGCACGCTGTTGGGCCTTGGCGCGGGGCCAAGATCGCGCGGTGCAGCTGCACCGATTGCCCGGTGGTCCCACACACTGTTGTGTTTGCGCTCCGCCGCGTGGGTGTGACGGCCAGCGGTGACTCAGAGGAGCATGAAGTATTGATATTGACGGTTTTCAAGAGTTCCAGGTTTTCCCGTCCTTCTGCGCGGGCTCCAGGGACGAATGGTCGAGCGCATTCCGTCGCGCAGGTTTTTGGCGTGATGTGCGCGGTGCATTTTCGCTCATCGGAGCGCCCTCCGAGATTCCAAGCTGCATTATGTTTTGCTTGTGGGGAGTCCGCGAGTCGCAGCTGCCGTGGCGCGATTTTGGAGGCCCCCCCTTCGAGTGCTGTTCGCGGGCGCAGGGCGCGGCGCGCGCCGCGCCCAGTCGCGCGCGGCGCGGTGCCTGAATCAGCCGGTTGCGCCCGTCAGACCGCCCCGAAAATATTTCCTGAGTGTAGATCGTTTCTAAAAAGCGCGGTTGTTTGTTTTGCAAAAGCGTCTCCGCCATTTCCAAAATATGAGTCCAGACATTTTCGAGAAATTGATTTGAAGGGGTGGAATGCGCCCGCGGCGCAGGAAATCTGAAGAATTCGGAAATCCAGAAACTTTCACAAGGGACCCCGGAAGTTCCCAAAATCGATTCCAGAAGTTTCATAATCGATTCCAGGATGCCAGAAGTAGGCAGGACATTTTCATACGCGTTCCTGGATTTTTAAAATCTACCAGAGTCGCGCGCGATTTGCCAGAGTCGAGAGAATTGCCCTCGCGGGCGCGATTTGCCCTCGGAGAATTGTCCAGAGTCGCGCGCGATTTGCCTTGCCAGGGCTTTTTGGGGATCCGCCGAGGCGCGCAGTGCGCGGCGGCGGGCGTCGGGGCGGGCAACGCCACCGCCCCCCCCCCCCGCGCTCGGCAGCGAGAAAGGGGA